TTTTTTTTTTTTTTTTTTTTTTTTTTTTTTTTTTTTTTTTTTTTTTTGGTATCCCTGGACATGTGATAGTCCACAGATGTGATTTCTGCTAAGTGACACAGTGGCTTTTCCCAATCACTGTGCACTGTGGCATCAGACCAATGTGCTGGTTGCAGCACGTTTTGTAGCCCTGAGGCTCCAAGTTCTCCCAGTCTGAGAACTATGGAAGCTGCCTCAGAGAGGAAGGGCTTGGCAGCATCACTCCTCAGCATCATCACCCCTCGGCAGCATAAGTGTGGCCAGGAGGAGGAAGGAAACCCTCGCTCTTCTCTGATGGGGCTATAAGCATATTTTTTTTGTCTGAGATCAGAAGGGAGAGAAACTGTGAATCCAATATTGTCAATACTGCACTGGAGGCTGTGGGCTGAGGTGTCCTTCGTCACCGTGGCATTGCCGTGCTTCAAACTAATCATGCATTTGCCAACACAACACTCCTGCTAATTCCCTCAATTCCCAGGTGGGGAAGTCACGTCACTGAGATGCAAAGTGGCTTATCCAAGGTCACCTGTAGGGAAATGAGACGGACGGGGAGAGAGCTCGGGCTTGCCCACTCCCAGTGCTTCCCACTGCAGCTGGTACCCCTCGGGAAGGTGTTGCTGATGGACAGGTGTGCCCCGAGGGTACCGCTGGATGCTCTCCAAACCACTGGTTTCGCCACGGGAGGAAGAAGATTTGTTTTTTTTTCCCTAAGAGGGAGAAGCAAAAGGTCTGTCCGGGGGTCAGCGGGCGCCCCGGAGAACAGCCGGCCCCCTGTTTGCCCAAAGCCCGGCTGGCAGCTGCTCCGACAGATGCCAGCGAGTGCTCGCCGGAGCGCCGCACCCCCGCCACCGCCCCGCGCAGGGCGCGTTCCCGCAGCCCCCGGGCATCCCGGAGAGGCACCGGGGCAGGGAGGGCAGAAGGGCAGCGGCATCCCGGGCTCGGCCGCGGCTCGGGCGGGGCGGGCGGGGAGGGACCGCGGGGCGGGTCGGGGGCGGGCGCGGAGCGGCGGCGGGAGGCGGGCGCTGTCCATGGCCCTGCGGAGCTCCGGGTGGCCCCGGGCTCCGCCGCGCCGCCGAGCGAGCGAGCGATGGGCAACACGGTGCACAAGACCCTGGCAGGTACCGGCGGGGGGCGCGGGGACTGCGGGGCCGGGGGCGCGTCCTGCCCCGGGGGATGCTGCGGGCGAGCGGGGGGAGCCGAGCCGAGCCGAGCCGAGCCGAGCCGGGGCGGGCTGTGCCGAGCCCCCGGTCCGAGCCCCCCGCGACCCTGCGGAGCGGCCCGGGCGAAGTCGAAAATTTCCAGGTTTTTTTCAAGTATGATTGTTTTCAATGACCCGCGGCGGGCACCAGGGGTGATGCTGAGCGCGGGGCACGGCTGAGCCCACGGGGGAGCCACGGACGCGGGTGAAGTGGGGCTGATCCCGCTGCTGAAGCGGCGATCCCCAGCCCTTTGACCGAATCCTCCTAAAGGCTTTCTGTTTCGTTTTCCCGTCCTCTTTTTTTTTTTTTTTTAATATAATTTTAATGGAACTTTTTAATGTGCAGACCTTAGTAGTTTGGAGTCGCCAGAAGAAAACTGTTTGAAATAAGGTCTGAAATGTTCGTTGGGCTGCCCTGGTTTCTAAACTGCCTTTTAGCGAATTTTGCTCTTACACGAGAGATGTACAGATTCTTTTCCTTTGCGAGTTCATAACTGTGGGGCTTTACCCCCCCCCCCCCCAGAGAATCTGTGCATAATAAAAGCAGTTGGTCTCTATAGAATCAACAGTGTTGAATTACTGAGCCTTTGCCAGGCTGTATCTTCAGCTAGTTTGCTTTTCTTCTCTTTTCTGCTCTTGCAGAGCTCCTGCATTGCATCCTTTGTACTTAGGGCTCCCATAAATAAAAAGGGTATTATTAAACTTATTTAAAGAAGCAGGAGGACCTATTGAACACATACACATGCCTCCCTGCAATCAGCCAGGGAGCTCAATATAGAAATAAAGAGAGGAATAGATTTGCATTTGGATGTGCCATATATTGTCTTTGCAAAGAGAGGGTGCCTGGGACCTTCGGGGCACAAAAGAAAGCTGCTAAGCTTGTGGTTTAGCTATGAACCAGTGATTAGATTTCTAGTTGCATCTCCTCTCATTCTCTGATACATTTAAATGGGACATTAGCTCCTTTCACAATAAGGAAGTTTTCATTTTATTAAATACTTCACCAACTGGCAAATAAAGGCATTGTAAGGAGTGCATGACCTTGGAGAAAATTCATTTTGTGGGTTGGCTTTTCAGCTAGAGGCAGCAGCAAAGGGCACATGCTGAAAACCTGAGGGAAATAAAAAAAGCCAGGGAAATATCCTTGGGTCAGGAGAGGTTGCCTCGGTAGGGCTAGAACTTCCCAAAGAAAAAATATTTGTGCCTGCTGGGACGTGGGATCTAGCTGTGAGCTCTGTTCCAGAAGGTTGAGAGTTGTATCAGCCGTTCTGCCTAGTGCTAGAACAGTCTCTCCTGAGCAGCCTTCACATGCTCAGCCTTACACACGTGAATTTAAAAAAAGGGATGACATCAGCTGCACCGCAGCTCTGTGATTCAGGAGTTCCTCGCGGTGCTTTCAAAAGAACTTCCTAAGAAAGAGGAAAAGTTTGATGGAGAAAAATGATGGCTTGATTTATGTAGACCTCCCAGCTCAAACGTTTGTTCTAGTGGCCTAGAAAACCTCTGTCCTGTCTTGCCAGGTGGAGACTGTCTGTAAGGAGCGCTTCGCTGGGGATGGTCCATTTGCAAACATTTGTCGAATTGCGCAAGGCAAAGCTATGCAGGACACTTGAACGCCTTTGCTCATGTGCTGGACGATGCTGAAAATGTGTCTTTCCCCCCAAGTTCAGCTGCCTTCGGTTTTTACAGAGTAATGACTGTCAGAAGCAGCTGTTAACCTGTGGCTGCAGAAGAGCTTTTGGATGTTTGCATTTTGGAAGTTTATAAAATGTATTTCTGTCGAGTTGGGGCCAATTCAGCAATTTTTCACATTGATGTGCTCAAATGAATTGTTTGTCTTTCATTGTCCAAATGACATTACGGAGGGAAGCAGGTTTAGAACTGTTCTTGGAACAGACTTTTTGAAAATGATAAAGTTTTCCAGAAGACTAAACTGTTGGGTGAAAATCCTATTTATAAATGCTAGAGCTGTTTAAAATTACTCAAAGATAATCAGTCAGAATTACATCTTTCCTCTTCTTGGTCCAAAATGCACCTCTTTCTTCACCCTGGCAGACTGAGCAAGGCACTTTCACTCTCATTTTGACTGACAGAGGAATTGCTCTCCCCTGATCCATGCATGGGCTGCAGTAACTTATTAATAAAAACCAAACAACCAAACCAAACATCCCCAAACTAAAATTTGCATACTTGTGTTAAATTGATTCACTGCAGAATAATTTTTGTTGTTCACCATAAATAGCTTAAGGTAGAAAAAGGATTTTCATTGTGGTCAAATGTAGAGGGAATATGGAACGACTTGGCCCCTGGAAAAAACAAACAATCAATAATTCCTGTTTTCTATAGAAAAGTTAACACTTTTTTCAAACAGTGGAATTCAATTTTAAATCCTACTGAACACATTTCAGCTCATTTTTATCCCTAAATTTGTTCAAATGTTTTCTTTGCTTGTTGCATCTTTAAATTCTTGCACAGCTTCATCCTTTTTCTCCCCATTTCCATGTTATGATACACGAGCACACGCTATCGGTGCCGGAGAAATTTGTGTCGGGGGCTTGGGAAACTTGTGTTTGCCAGGTAGCTGATGGTTAACACACAATGGGTGAAGGCTTTGTCAAATTAACAGCGAGGTTCTAAACAGAGTGGTATTGAAATGAGTAATAGGCTGTGGCTAATGAAAGGCAGCTTCTATATTTGAACGGGTTGAGGAGGCATTTGAATGGAAAAGAGCTGAGATGTGTCAGATACGCTTAACAACGGGCCTGAGGTGGTGGTGGAAATTGCTCTTATCTGGATGACAGCTAAATGATACAGGACACATTGCTCCTGCAGCTGGCCTGAGCTGGAGGAGTGAGCACAATCTTCGTGTTCCTCTGTGGCTCCTGGCGCCAGCCCATCCCCGACCCTCCTGCATCTCCAGCGGGAGGATCTTCCACTGCATCTCCAGCACAGTGTGGGAATTTACGCTTGGGTGTCGATATTTTCCTGCCTCCCTCCCCTCACCACTCACTGCCCATTGTTTGAGGTGCTTTGCGGGCAGGTGGTTAGGCAAGAGTGAATTCTTTATTTTTGAGGCACAGTGTTTTCCTGTCTCCTGCAGGTGATAAAGTAGGAGTGCAGCATTGCAGCCGATGGGCAGAGCCTGGCCTGGCCTGGCCTGCAGAGTGGGCTGGGAGGCCATGTGATGGTGGTGGTGGGTGGGTTGCATATGGACATGGGCTTTATGGCTTTGTGGCTGGTCACCTGCAGCGCTCCTCACAGGGGTGCTCTGAGTTAACTCACAGGTGAGAGAGGCAGCAAGCAGCACACCCCAGCACTGTGGATGGGGCTAATTGTTCCGTGCTAAATGCTGTCCTTGGCAGAGACTGTGAACAGGGTTCAGAAAATGGTTAATAGATGGTGCTGGGAGCTCAGTGGGGCTTCAGGACTGGCAGGTTGGGAGAGGTGAAAATTCCCCTGACCCAGCAGAGCCCCCCTCTGTGCAGCTGTGAGGGGAAATGTCTGGGAGACTGGGACAGGCAGCAAGTGTCCCTGTGGCAGCTCATCGTGGCAGGGTGAAGGTAGACAGCTGCTGGGGCAGGCAGGGCGGGCAGGGCGGGCAGGAGGCACTCACTGGCCAAGGCACAAGTGAAGGACTTTCCATTTGGGATCCAGTTGTTGATCCTGACCCAAATAGGGTCATTGGTATTTAACAAAGGAGCCAGATTCCCTATTTAGAATCTGGCTGGGATCTGATTGCAGTGCTTCTCCCACAGCCTTCCTCACAACTGCGAGGAATACCAAGTATGAGTGGCATTTGTGTCTGGTAAACACAAGGGAGAATGGGGCTTGTTCTGGCAGAAGTGACTTAGTTTCAAGAAATTATTTTGTATTCTTAAGAAAAATGCTTTTAATAACTAACCCTTTCCCAGAGAGTCAGAAATCCCAATTTTAGACCTTCACCAGACTGATGCTCCCATCTGCCAGGCTTTGTGAAACAGTGATGGTTGTAGGGTCCTGGTTACAGCAGAGCAACAGGAATTTACAGCTTGTGAGTAAATGATGATGCTTCCATGTATCCCTTTTCAAAAAACTGATTCACTTCTTTTGTAAGAAATGAGGAGCAAAGATCATGTAGTGGGAAAAGATATCTCTGCCTTTTCCAGGGGCTAAAATCTCGGCTTCAAGGAGCACTTTTGTTTAGATTTGTTTTCTGGTCCCTCCTCCCCCTTTAGCTGCTAGTGATGAGTTCTTGGTATTGTGAGGAGTTCAGTAAATTGTTTGATTTGGCTCCAGTCTGACTTCAAGAAAACTACAAAATAACAGTTCAGGTTGTTCTGGTTTGAGTGCAAAAGGTACCTGTTCAGACCAGTTTTTGGTTTGGGTTTGGTTCAACTCTGATCAACACTGACTGCAGGTGTTAATCCACTGCTATTCTGCCTGTTTTTCTGCATCTTTTAGGCTGGGAGTTGAAGTTTCTAGAGTCTTGTCATTGATTTTGATGACTCCCTGTGTGACCTTTGAGCGAGTGACTTTGTCATAGCCTTGCTTTGAATGTAAGGAAGGTAGGAAACACTGTTTGGCTCACATGGATATACGAGAGTTAATTAATTATGAAGCATCTTCATGAAGAAGGTCAGAGAAGTGCAAAAAAATAAATTAATTCTCTGCTTCCTGAATAGTCTTCTGCTTTTCCACTCTTGAAAAGGAAACCTGTGAAGCTGCTCAGCCCTCGCTGTGATTTAGAGCTGGAACAGGTTGATCGTATACTGAGGACTATCTTTAACCAGCCTTGCACAGTACATACCCAAAACTGTGCTGCAGCCAACTGGCACAGTTAATTCAGTGCTGCCATTGGTATCTTGGCTGCTGAGACTGGAGACACGACTGTACTCGAATCCAGGAAGGCACCACCTATCAGGACAGCGTTAAATGGAGCTG